CAAGGGCTAGAGCCCAGGCGGGACCAGCCCAGCTACTCACCGCGTGCCTAGGCTCCCCATCGTTAGCTTTGAAGCAGCAGCCAAGATCCCACCATGTGCCTGGCCCCCACTGGGTGAGGTGGAGGACCAATCAGAACGCAGACAGCTCTTGCCCCCCAAGCTGCTAGTGCTCCAAGAATAAAGCCAGAGTTGGGCCAGACCAATGGACAGGGAGCCCCACTGCTCAGCCCCCCATGCCCAGCTGGTGTGAAGCGTCCGCTGCAGGGCCCAGGTTGCTCTCACTGTGGAGAGGGGACCCCACAGGAAGGCAAGCGTGGGTGGTAACTGATGCGAGGAGGCATGGGCCTCAAGTGACAAATTGTGGTGGCGGGTCTGTCCCCCCCAGGATGCCCAAAGTGGGGCTAAGCTCCCTGCCCTGCAGCCTGTTCCATGTACTGAGAGCGTGGTGGGTAAGTTCCCCCCGCTAAGCTACTGCACCAGCCAGGCTGTGGCAGGATGGAAATGCCAGTCCCCATGACCTGCCTGAATGCTTTTAGCGCTGCCATGCCCAAGGGCAGGGAACCAGGCAGAGGCCCACCCTGCTCATGGTACAGTGAGGGATCATGACGGCTCGGCCTGGTACCACCTAGCAGCCATTTCCAGAGGAACGCCGTATTAAAGGGTGCCAGCAGCTGGGGCATCGATACTTCAGGTCTCACAAAGAGAAGATGGAAGAGGAAATCTCTCCTGTCAGACCCGCTGCTGCTGGTGGAAGAGAAGCTTTTGAGCGACCTCTCTGGATCAGGATTTCCCCTGGCCTTGCTCCTCTGGGCAGATGGGTGCTGGGGAAGCTCGGGGCTTAGGCTACTGGTCACCTGGGAATGGCTTTCCCAGACCAGCTTAGGCCACTGGCCTTGCACCAGAAGCATCTCCTCTAAATCAGCAAGCACTGGCAGCTTTGCTGGCACGAAGCCTGGCAGGCCAGGGAGTGATGGTGCCTAGGGAGCCGTCCTACCAGCACCGGGAGCAGCGTGAGCAAGCAGAGGGGACGTCTGGGAGGGGAGGTTCCCCGATTAATCCTGTGTGAGCTGGAGTCTTCCTAGGAGCTGTCATAGGCAGGGACCAAGCCACAATAGAGACGGGTACAGCAGAGCCCCCATCTCTCCTCCAGCACTGGGCACGCGCCAGACTTCGCATGGGCCGTATCTTCAGCAGCACTGGTTCTCTGCTGCCCTGCACTCAGCCAGGGGGTAGCCCACACAATACAATTTCCACCAAAACAATGTTTTATTTACAGCAGTCCCCTACAAAGGAACAGACACTGATATCTACCCACGCGCCCCAGCCTCTCGCAGCGCCTAGGAGAATGGGAGAGGCCAACAGCCCAGGAGTCAGCAGCCATGGCTACAGATCCAGGAAGCCATGTCAGGGCCCATCACCCAGCGAGGAACACCAGGCTTGACAGACGCCGCGGGGCATTCACATGTACCAATGTGATATTAGCGCCCAGCAGAGGCGCTCAACCTGGGCCCAGTGTGCACATCGGAGAACAAAGCAGCTGGACAAAGGGGCAGTGTTGGCATGGGCTTTGGCTGAATCGATCCCTGCGGCGGCCACGGCAGCGCTCCCTGTCCCCACCCACAGTCACGTGCAGCACTGGTTCTAGGCACACAGGCCTGTGCGCTCACTCCCCCAGCAGCGTGGTGACCTCGTGCACGTGCTCACGCACCACCTGGTCCAGCACAGCATAGACATCCTTGCAGGCCTTGCTGGCAGCCTCGATGACCTGTTCCAGGTGGTCCTCGTGCAGCCGCGAGTTCATCTCCAGCAGGGCGATCTGGTCCGACTTAGGCAGCAGGGCCAGAGCCACTTGGGGGCCCCCAGCTGCCTCCTCCACGTAGTTGAGGTCAGCCAGGGGCGTGTCCTCGATGAAGCCGGCAGAGCTGGCGCACACATAGTCTCGCATGGGGATGCCTGCGTCTATGGTGGCCAGCGTGGCCGCGTTCACACAAGCACAGTAATTCCCACCGTCTGCCTGCAGGATCTGGGGAGACAGAGCACTCAGCAAAGGGGGCAGAGCAGGCTGCACCTGAGCGACTCTGCATCTGGCCCCACAAAGCTCAGGACTAGACCTTTCATGCCCACAACCCTCCTTAGAAAGCAGCATCACTGGCTTGTGAAACAACATAAGCCCTGGGCAGACGCCCCTTCACCTGGCACTGCTCTCTAGGCAGCCCAGGGAACCAGTGGGGGAGTGAGCAGAACGCACATGGCTGATCCCTTCCGGAATGCTACACAAACAACCTCCCCCCACTAGTGCAGGAGCCAGCAAGCGCCCCACACAGGTCACCACCTCCTTCCCCAATGGCTCAGCTGGCTGAAGGCCCAGATGATTCCTCATGTCCCATGGTCACCCCATGGTGAGGCCCACACAGCACTGAGCAAGGCTTGAAACCCCTTCCCCCATACTCCAGGGAGCTACTCCAGGCAACTGGGGTCAGGCACAGCAGAAACCAGGAAGCTGCCAGCTCGGTATGGGGAGCTGGGTAAACCACAGAGCCAGCAGCCCACGGCTACAGGCCCATGGCCGGGG